TTCTCCGAAAGACAGATGTTTACTCAGGATGATCTTTAAACAACAGTTCCAGAAAGACTTTCCACATCTTTCTTTCTCTTTAATGATGGCCAAAGCTCACTGGCCCCTGACCATGATGTGTTTCTAAGAATATTGCCATACATGCTGGTCTAAGATCGGTTACACCCCTAACCCGAGAAAGGAAAAGCTGACTCGAAATTACTAAGGAAAGACCGTTTTTTTTTCTGTATTTAGCCTACTCTTTATCTTGGTTGCCATGCCAATAATAAAAAAAAATTACATTGATTATGCATGATCTTCAGTCAATTAATTAGCCATGCGATGTGAGTTCTGAATTTACAATAAGGTTTCATTACTTACTTGACTGAACTAGTTAGCAAAAACTAAGAATGAACAATACTTCTACAGCATGATAATCTTAGTTAATCTCAGTGTTTACTAATATATTATTTAAATCAATAGTTTAAACACACACACCACTCCCTCCCGATATCATCGTCCATCGCAATGTTTCATTGTAGACATCGTCTGATGCCAAATTGGTAGACATAGCCCAACCCTAAATGAATACTGTAACTCATTTTTAGTTCTTGTTAGTTAAAGGTGCTATATGTATTTTTTTAGCGGCGTCTATCTGTGATGTTTTAGATTGCAACCCATTTTTACAAGAGCGCTCATGCTCTTGCACATGCCTCAAACACAAGAGCAGGGACTCGTCGTGGTACACGGCCACACTGAGACTTTCAATGCACCACTGGACCAAGCATCACACAACATGCTGGAAAAAATGTCTGCTTTGCCATACATTGGTATAGTAAATGTACATTTTTTTTTTTTTTTTGTAAATTTGGAGTGCTGTCAGTACAGAGAACAACGACAAACATCGGTGTTTCCTTCATGGTGTTATCCTCTTTTTAAAATTTGCACCCTGTTGACTTAAATGAGGCAAGTTTTAAACCTGCTTTTAACCTCTTAACATCCTTGATATGTCCATTACAAGTGCACAGCCACGTGAGTGATTTTATTCAGAGATAACATAGTGAATCTGACTGCAGTAGATGTGAAAGTTATGAATAAAAATGCTAGTATTTTAACATATTTTAGCTAGTCTTGAGGTTGGATCATGACAGACCCATGTTTTGTGTGCAAGCACATGGCCTTTTGTTTGGGCCATGTGCTTGTGTTGTCTTAGTTTCTCCCTATTTTATCCCCTTGTGTTTGCTGTCCTGTGTCAGTTCATTGTGATTCCTATCTGAGTGTTATCTTACCTTGTGTATCCTGTCAAGTGTATTTGTCTAGAGAGAGTACTGATTCTTTCTTTGCCGTTTGTTTGTCGTCTAGTTATTTGTGAGGTCATAATCTAGTTCAGTCACTCCTTACTCTGTCCATGTTTTGCCCCCTTATGAGTAGTTTTTCCTGTTTTTGTCCATTAATAAATTGTCAAGCATCCTGTCTGCGTTTGGGTTCATTTTCAAGATCATAACAAAAAGTAGTTTTAAAACTTGCCCAATTTAAACAAGGTGCACATTTTAAAAAGAGTTGTAGGAAACACAGATTTTTGTCATTGTTCTCTGTACTGACAGCACTCCAAATTTACAAAAAAAAAGTTTTCCTTTAAGAGGAGGTGATTATGAGAGAAAAAAAATTGTTGCAAAGGGAATGTTTTTGGATTTATACTTTAAATACTTTGTCACCATTAGGACTGAATGGGGATTTTTATATTAAGCATATAGTGATTTTTATATTTTTATATATTAAAGATGTAGTTTAAAAAAAAAAATAAAGGTAGCTATTGCTATTTTTATACTGCTTTATAAAATATTACAAATTATGGGAGAGTGGAATTTTAATATCACATTACTGTTGTCTCTACCATTATTGTTTTGTATGCTGATTTAAAGTTTTTATTTTTTGTCACATAATATGAATTCTCATGTTTTTCAGAGTGAGTCTAATTAAAGGGGATGTATTATTCCTTTTACAAGATGTAATATAAGTCTCAGAATGTGTCTGTAAACTTTCAGCTCATACCATATTATACTGTGTTGTCAACTTTTGAGTGGAGGGAAAAACATGCTGTTTTTGTGCAAAAGTCATTTGGAGCGGTATTTTCAGTGTGGACACGTTTCCTTTTTCTATTATCATTATTTTGTTGTCCTCCACCTAAGCCCAATTAGGGTGCGTGCGTGGGATGTGCACAGCACACCTTCGTTGTATTTTGGATTCTTCAGTGATTTTGGTCGGTCTCACCTCTCAACTATCTTACCTGTAGGCCTATCTAACAATTTAAATGTCATTATTTTGACAATTATGGCATCCATTAGAATCCATTATCCAATATATTATTCCCTAAATTTGACCTGAGAAGTAACAATTTTTACCATTTTAAAGTATGACAATAAGACAAGTAAAAAATCTACAAACTGTTTAGTACACATTACCTAACATATTGCAAATAACAAACAAACATGTATTTTAAATTATATAAATACATATTTTTTAAATAGCTAGCAACAGCTTGCTTTGTGGTCACATTTTCTGGCCTATTACCTGAAAATTCAGTAACTTGCAAATGGCAATGCATTTTGCAATACAATTGTTTTAAATTGCATAAAAATTATTACAATATTCACATAAAATGAATAGAAAATATAATAAGCTTATAAAATAAATAGTTTGACCTGGTCAACAATCAAAATTTTCTGAAGGACCTAAGCACCTGTAGTCTGACAATTTGTTGAAAACCTTCTTTTCAGTGAATGTCTTGAGAATACCCCGAAGACATTCACTGACATGCCAGTCTTCATAGCTTTACCCATGCAGTTGGTTCACCCATCTGCCTATATTCCAGTCAGACAGTTTGATGAGTGGATCTTTTGAATGTCAAACCCTCATCCTCTCAGGGCCTGACTAATCATAAAGAGTGAGAACTTGTCTTTTACCTTCTCTTGAAGCTTTCTGATTCTGTCCTTGACATTCAGACAGCAGGCGCTGTCATAAGGCTCACAGAGGAATACTGTGTGGGTGTGAGGTGTGTGAGGTTGAAGAGCTCAAGACTTGAGTTTGTGTGTTTGTGTTTAAATTATTCAATTATTTAACAATAAAAAGCATTTAAAAGAGGTTGTGACTAAACCATTGGCTCCTCAAACTGTCAGTCAAACCCCATAACGCTATCACTTTTTTGGAAATCCCTTTTGAAAGCACTAATGCACACTAAAGACCTGCAACATAAGCTGCAAAAGAGAATGCTAATTCAAAAAGTGTGCATCACAAACATATTTACAATGTATGATGAAAAACGACAATAGGATCTTAAAAGTACCGTGCATAGGCTACAGCCAAACCAGATTTCTGTCCTTAAGTGGTCGTTTTAAAATGTTACGGCTCTCTGTGGCCCCCACAAACAGCAAACATCCATTAGTATAATGCTAAAAAATGCATGAGTTGTCCCACAAGTATTATTTCCACAGAATTAAGGAGGCCATTATAGGCCAATTCTATGACAGCAAATGTAAAAATAACCGTACGTAAAGAACAGGGTGAAACGCAGGCAGAATTGTTACGAGACAAAATTATTTGATGATGAGCGATGACCAAATGTTGGGCACTGGGCAGCCAATCAAATCGATTCCCTTAGGAGGGAAAAGAAGAGCTCTTACATTCATATTTCACTCACTGGGTGAATAGAAAATAGAACAGATTAAAGATTAAACTTAAAATTGTTAAGAGACATGGATTCAGTAGATGTGCCATGTAAAAAGTGAATATTCTTGGTTAAGCTCAATGGACCGCAATGAATGTGAATGGTGCCAATGTGTAAACGATACCCGTTCAACAGAACAGCCACTAGACCTAAAGAATAATGTGTTAACATTATTTTAAAATGCTCAAATAATAAATGATAAAATGTACAGCTCAAATAATACATTAACATAAAAATAAAGTGGTTCTATACATTTTTATGTTCAAATTATTTTTAAAGACTTTCAGGATTATCTGTGACACTGCAGATGTAAACTGACTGGCCAAATAATTGTTGCGATATCAACCACTCCTTCATTTATTATTGTCATTTAAGTAGAACGCATGCTAGAAAGTCCTCTGAGCACATCCATTTCTTAACTAGAAGCTGGTAGGGGCATGTCACCCTACTATTTATAGCCTGCCGAGAAATAATTCAAAGGAATCAGAGTGAAGATCTCTTAAATCTTCCCTTTCAGAGTCCTACACAGAATGAAAAAGGAGAATGTCTCTTTCTCCCCCAAAAGCCATCTGTATGAGACAGTGCAGCACACCTCTGAAAAGGTGTGAGTTATATCCTGAACATCACAGTGATGGATGTGACATCTGTTGGAGAGACAGAACAGCACACATGGCACTGTGACGGGCAATAAAAAATTGAAGCTCTATTTCCAAAAGTACTTCGAGTGAATTAAAATGCATGTTGTAATAAGAACTAAATGACCTTAAAGGGACAGTTCACCCAAAAATGAAAACTCCATCATACTATGACTTTTTTCTATTGTGGAGCACATAAGGTAGAGATGTTAAGCCAGGAGAATGACAGCCTCTGTCACCATTCACTTTCATTTTATGAGAACAAACATCAGAAGATGAATGACTGGTCCCTTTTTTAAGTCATTAAGTCTCCACTTTGAAACCATTTAGACAAACTATCAATAAATAAAAATAATTTTTGCTGACAATTAATCTTTCAAAGTTCAGCTCTGGAAACCGACGTGTTCAACTCATTAAAGTGACATTCATCCTTTCCACTTGAAAACGTTAGAATGAGGCAACTTTAACGTTACTGTCCTTACGACAGGTAATTTCTACTTCTTTACAAACAATTCTGTCTCCTCACTTCTCCTCCGAGGTCCAGACTCGGACACACACTTTATTCCCTCTTTAAGCTCAAATGTCTCGCCTGGGGGGACCTAATTCTACTATTTCCTCTAGGGCTAAACACGAAACAAACCGTTAGCACATGCAACACTTACCTCAACAATCTTCATATGTCTCAAATGTGCCGCTGTAGGCACTCCGCTTGTGCTGGCTGAATTCAACGGTTTAAATTTCAGTGCCGAGTTAGTAACTAAACCATGGCACGTAAATGAAACGTAGCCCGCGATGAAATGACTATCTGGTGTCGGAGTGTAACTTTAAAGCGATTGGCAGCGGTGTTTGGTGAGATGAGAACGGTCGCGACTCATGCGGCGCTCGTGTGTGTGTGTGTGTTGGGCGTGCGTGCGTGCGCATCCTGTGCTTCTATTCTCGCGCGCTCTCTAGGGACACCGATGCTGCTGCTGATATTGCCAAGCAACAGCTTCTGTAATAACCCGTCAAAGTCTGACGAAGTTCAAGTTTGGTATGCTTTATAACAGACGCTCACGGTTGAACTGTCATTCATAGTTAGAATGGAGGATGGAGAGATCTCTATAATATGGTGAGGACATCATATTCCTTATTTGGGTATAACTTTCATTAATGCTCGGCTTTCGCTACTATGTTTTCATGTTCCCATTATGTATGTTTTATAATACTGGATTTTTTTTATAGATAGAAACCATATTAGTTAGTTTCCCCAACCATTTATTTATTTATACAATTATGAGAATTTTAAAATCATTTTTCTATTTGGTTTGACTATGTTGCCATTTTTGGCTATACCCTCTAAAATGAAAAAAGTTGGGAATATCAAAATGTTTCAAAATAAAATTTCTTTAGAATATTGTTTTAATTGCTAATCCGTTTATAACTGTGTCCTTAATATCACGTTTCATCTTGTTAATTTTCTTGCCATTGTGTAAGATAATCTAATCAATCATTAACCAGTTCATTATTGACAGTTAATTAATATATTTATAAATGAATATTATAATTTAATATTATGAATAATATAGTATAAAATCCTGCACTTGACTAGAGTATGTCATTGTTATACATAAAATGTATAATTTTTACAGGCTATTTTATGTTTAGTTCAATACAGTAGGCCTATATAATGTATGACCCATATTGTAAAGTTAAGGCAGAGATGAAGCAGAGAGAGAGTATCCAAATGCGAGCACCAATTTAATAAAATTACAAGCGCAGGGAATCCAGGGCAAACAAAGAAACTCAGGAACACAAACAACGACTGACAAACCACAAGAGAAACACAAGGGCAATTTATACACAGACTAACAAGGTAACAATGGGGTGTGGTTGATTTTCATGCAGGAACACACAAGAGTATAAACAAGGGAACTAACGAGTCATACCTGGGGAGACTACATGAAAAACACACACATTGTGATTAAAATAAAAATGATTTAAAATTTTGGACATTGTATGGCTCTAGTCTATGGGTTTCTTATACTGAGTACCATGTAAATACTACGGTATTGCCTGATGGCATCATGTACCATCCTACAACATTCCTCAGGCACCAGACCAGTCACCGCAGCACACAACTTTTCCCATAATCCCATAAACTCATAATCATCACACCTGTTCATATTAATTTCATCATCTCCGTGTATTTTGTTCCTCTGTTTTCAGTCTTTAGTTGTCGGTTGTTGTTTGTGTATAATGTTATGAACATTGTTAAGCCTTTCTGCCTTTTTGTTTTATTAAATCTAATTTATATTTTAAACTTTGTCCTCATCCTGTGACACCTCAGCACGTCTCGAAAGGGTTGTGCTAATAAAGTTTTAATGAACGTGAAATCTAAAATATTGTGTTCTTATGCAGGGGTTCGTAAACGGAAACCATAAATCGTTACAAAAAAAACGTAAACATTGTATAACAGCAAGTTGCCAGCAACATTTTATATAAAAATAAAATCCAATTTAATGATGATATGATATATGATACTAAAATAACACTGTTCTTATCCACTATATTCAATAGTTCTTGCACTACTCTACACTTTTTTTTTTGGCTGTCTATAAATAAACATACAGTCCATAAATAAATTCAGACTCTGGGGACTGACAGAGATTAAAGGAACATTGTGAACTGACAATGATATCATTGTGTAGCGCTGCTATATTTTACAAAGGGGTGAAAATATGCAGGGGGGGATGAAATATGAAATGTTACTTAAATTTCATTCAAGTATAACACAATGCTGATTAACCTTTCTCTTGTCGATCAAATTTTATTTATGACATTATTTTGTCTATTGACTTCAAAACAATAGACTTCCACCGCCAAATGGATTAAATGATGTACCGAAGGCAGTTGTGCTACTTTATCCTGAAGGCACATATTGATTACTTTATAAATTACTGTCAGTTTCCATCATTTCATTTCTTCACAGTCCCCATAAGATACTGCCTACTTTTCCATACAGCAATACATTTCACCTCGCTGCCCACAAGATAACCAATTGTTTTTTTATTCACTGCAGAAATAGACAAAAGAATATTGATCTGATGATTCAGGTCTCCTTGTTGCTCTATCCCCACAGCCCTGAAATGTCTTCGCCAGTCCAAAATGAAAGGCAATATGGGACATTCTGTTCAAGGTCCTTTACTTAAGCATAACCATTGACATCCAAGATGGTTTGGCTAGTTGTTTTATTTATTTGGAGTTACTGAAACTCCTTAATAAAAGTAAACTTTACATCACAAAAGTTTTGCGAGTCAATCATGGAGTCAATGCAAAGTTTCTCATGGGAATTTAAAGGGGCCACAACATAAAAAATGTAATTCCCCTTGATCTTTTGACATATAAGAGGTCTTTGCACTATTAATATCCTGCAAGTTTTGTAGTTTAAATTGTCCTCCTCATTATAAAAAAGCATTTATTTAAATAAGCTCCAAAAATTTGAAAAAAATAAATAAATTTGAGAAACGAGGTACAATAGAATAGACGGTTCACACAGTAACTTTTGTTGGAAGATGAATAAGCTAACTCTATTGGATCTGACAACAGCTACGCTACCCGCAAGTAAACAATTAAATAATGGTTTGTCTTTAAATTATATGGATAGTCTTCAAAACACTTACTCGTCGACTCTTTTTGCAATGACGTTGGCCAATCATAACAGATTTAGACCCCTTAAAGGAGCCGCCCCTTAAAAACTGATCATTTGAGACCGAGGGTCAGAATGAAAGTTGAAAATAATTATTTTACAAACACACATTTACGTTTTTGTGAGCTCAGTATCAACATTAAATGAACCTTTTAAAAATCCATATCATGACCCCTTTAAATATAATCTTTCCCTCCAGTCATATTATATTAAAGGAAGTAAAATTTGTTACAAATAGTTTCATATGGACTTTAACCCAATCAATAAGGAATCATAGACTTTATTCAAGTTTCAGATTATCTGCTTTGATTTATGATGTTGTTATTCAGTTTTCTGTCTAGTTTCAGGGTGGCAAATTTATCAATGACTAAGTTACACCTGGACTGAATCATTTGCTGCATGCGCTTCTTCCTTGTATGGATTGCCAACCAATACATAATTAGTTCATCTGCAGGGCTAGAAGCTTCTTTTAGCTCACTAATGGAGCTCTTACCAGGAGATCAAATAGCAGTTCAGTCAATGATGAGGTTTGTGGATAAAAGAGATGATGATGTCACCCATAGCCCCGTCTGTGTGATTTCATAAAATTTCAAGCCTGAAGTGCAGAGCACAAACAAACATCAAACCCCCCTCCAAAATTGTTTTGCAGACCATATTGCATCATATTAACCGAACCCAATAAAACCCAGTACAGTGGCCCATTTGTGGCAAAAAACGCTTTGTTATTGCATGTCTCATGACCTGCTGATCTCTGAAAGCGAAAAACGTTATGTTTCCCAAGACACAAATCCGACCTTCACAGAAGACGTGTGGGAAAGCGAAACTTCTAAAACAAGATAAAACTTTTACCAGGTGCTTCAGACAGACTTATTTATAACACCATGGCAAAATGAATAGATCTTTCTCAAAGGATGGCATTTTCTGTCCTCTAACTAGATTTAGATGGGTTCCTCTGTCTTCTAAATTTAGATGAAGAAAGTGAGTCAGCCCACAGAAAGTCAATATTAATGGTGATTTATTGAAGAGTGAAAAAGAAAATGTATCCTCACAGGACTCCAGTCGGTGTGAGAGCACCTGGAACACAGGCTCACTGTGGTGGAGGCAGTCCAATGAAGCCCGCACACTACTGCCCTCTGCTGGCTGGCTGGACCACTGACTCACCTAGTGCATGGGATTCACCATGTAGGAAATGTTCCAATGCGTGAGCTGGTGGCTAATGAGGACGCGAGACCAGCCATTTTTATCCATACTTTCCTGTCTACACATTATACTTTCTTATAAACGTAAAGGCAAAATAATCATTCTGAAGGGAAATTATATAATGCAAGACTAGCTTGTCTGCAGACGGAGAGCAGGACGTGAAAAGTAGAATGGACGAGATGGGGGAAAGTCCGTAGCCTACTGTGCTGGTTTAGACAGCAGGTATAAACAAAAACATCACAACAAATATTGGACATGAAATGATTATTATGTTGCGAAGAGGAGCGATTTTTCCACTTAAAGGAGTAGTTCGCTTTTTTTGATGAAAACATTCCAGGATTTTCTCCATATAATGGACTTCAATGGGAACCAAACGGTTCAAGGTCCAAATGAGAGTTTCAGTGCAGCTTCAAAGGGCTTTAAACGACACCAGGCGATGAATAAGGGTCTTGTCTAACGAAACGATTGGTCATTTCAAAAATAAATAAAAAAGTTTAAGTTTTATAAGCACAAATGCTCACCTTGCTCTTTTCTGTGATGAGCATTCGTGACTCTCCTGTTCAAACTCGTTCATCAAAATGGACATATCCTTTGTTGAGTCATGACTCCTAGATAAGACCCTTATTCATCGTCTGGTGTCGTTTAAAGCCATTGAAGCTGCACTGAAACCATCATTTGGATGAACCAAATTGAAACTGAAATACTTTAGCTTTAGGGTGACCATATTTTGATTACCAAAAACCAGGACACTCAGATACTCAACAGATACAGATACTCAAATGATACTCGAAGTTTACTCAAAGATTGTTAGACACAATTCAGATAGGCTTCTCGAAAGTTACTCAACATGTTTTATTTTGCCAGGTTTCAAAAATAATGAAATAATGATAGAAGTATTGTCTCTTCTGTATTAGAAAAATAAATATATAAACTAAAAGAAATACCTCCAAATTGAACAAAAAATAGCTCTCACCAACTTAAAAAAAACAAACTAAGAAAATATATT